CTAAATAAACAAAGGTCTGAATGTCTACATTTGGTGCAAAGATGTGGGGTATACATACCACTGGGACTGGTCCAACTGCAAGACTTTAAAATCAACAATTTTTATAAAAATGGAAGAAAGAGATGGAGTTATCATTCAGTGGTTTTCACTGTCTTCCAGGCCCAGTCACATATCTGTAAGTATCTACATCCATGCGCCTGTATTCAAAATCTAAGCTTCAAGAATTATATTCATTTTACAGGTGAAGGCATCGAGAGTCTAGCAGGAAAACGAATGTATATATCTGAGTCAATCAACTGAGATTCACTGAGAACCTATGATGTGAACGGTAATGAGGAAAAAATAAAAGCATAGTGGAAGCTGGTCCTCATCCTTCAGCGGCCTCCAGCCTTTCTGAGAGAACAAGGCACAGGGAGATGCGGGGTGTGGTAGGGACCAAAGGCACAAAGAGTTCCAGAACAAGGAGGGGGCGCTCTCATCCGATCCCATCCCAGGGCAAAGCACAGCCCTGGCACACGGTTGTAGCTCAAAAGCGATCTAATTTGTTGAGTACCTACTAAGTACCAGGCATTGAACGAGAGGTTGGAAACACAATCTCAAAGGTCAAGAAGCTCTTACGGTTGAACCGCTGTAGGAAGTTTCCAGACAGAGATGAGCTTGGAGAAGGGAGCAGAGGCAGGAGAAAACGAGGTGGGAGGGATGGGGACAAAGGCGCTGGGGGTGGGACTAATAGTGACATCATTGCTGGGGACAGTGCCAGGGGCGAGGGGGACACTGAGCAGACTTCACCTCTCAAAGCAGAGGATTTACTGGGAAGGAGTGCGAGGAAAGGCTGGCGGGCTAAAGAAAACCCATTTAATGACTTGGAAGGTTAGTACATAAAACAACCAGCTAACACTGCTTTAATTCTGAGAATGGACCTCATCGTAGGTATTTATGCTGCGGGTGATCTGAGCCGTGAAAATGCTCAAGTCGGCTCCATGCAGAGTGACTTTATTATGAGGCTCATTAAGGAACCGCCCCACTGTATGCCTTTCTCTCTGATTACTGTAATTTCTTCCTGGCCGTTTTTACTGTCAGTATAGGCCTTTGGGAAGTGCATAAAATTTATAAGATGGCAGGCATTAGTGGGCTTTATTAGGCATTTTCTTAGATTTTCTTAATAGCGGTGAGTGAATATGACGGCTGTTTTACCTAATGGTGGCTCTGCTGGCTGTGTGAACTGGAATGTGTTAAGCACTGCTTGGCGGAGGGGGAGGCAGAGGAGTCATTAAGGAATACTCAGGTGGATGGGAGGTGCCCAGGCCTGGAAAGGTGAGCAGATACTATAGGGCGGGGGTGGGGGCAGCTGCATTTCAAGTAATTTTCTTTATGATGAAACTGTTTAATGAGTATAATTTTATTCCTTTGTTGCAGACAGAAGCCTTTAGTACATATGACAAAAAAAGTGCTCAGGGTGGGAGATTCTATATAAATAAGATAAAATATTTTGGGGAAATCACGGTGAAGACCCTTCCTCTTCAGGAGTTCTATTTCCACTAAGTGAGAAATAAACACATTGTAAGATGACCCTGAGAGTCCTAAACAGGAGCAGGAAGTCCAGCCAGAAGCCCAGCCAGATGCCCTCAGGGCCTTCAGCCATCATCCCATCACCAGCCTGTTGTCATCAAAACATGTGCAGCACGTAGAGTCAGGCCACTCTGGAATCAAATCCCACCTTTTCTACAAAGTACATACGTGACCTTGGACACTTTGCTAACCTCTCTGAACTTTCCGGCGCCTACATTATAAAGCCAGAGTAAGAATGCTTTCCCTACAGAGAGTTGTTACGGGGATGAAATGAAATGAACAAGACGATGTAGATAAATTGCTCAGGACAGCGCTTTGCAGCACAAGGTGCGATGTGTCCGTATCACTGATGATAAATCTGGTGTTACTCTGTCCGTTTACTGAACCAGGAATGTGCTGGATTTAACTGGAAGACCTGGAACACGTACCAGTAAGGACCTCTGCTTCCTCACCTATAAGGGGCAATACTACAATCACAATAATGTCTACATTGCCTAAATAGCAAGGTTATGGGAAGCTCTGATGGTAACGTACGTGCGAACTTTAAACTGCTGAACAAATTAAAGGAATTTTCTGCCCTAGAGCACATACCCAAATGAGAGACACTCATGTGTAATGTCATCTGCCTCCACTCAATGCACAATGAGTGTAATACCACTCACGCTGATTAGCACCAAAAAGGAACATATTTACAGCGTACAGTTTTTCAGTAACGGCCACCAGTTGTGACTCTGACTCTTTAAAGCTGTACTAACACACAGCCTTACTACAATGGAGGTGAATCCTGTAAACATCTAGCAGTGTGTAATCACTCAAACTCATGACTTGACCCTCTTTGTCTTAGTGAAAATGTGAACATAAATAGACTATTTCCACAAATGAATCATGGAGACTCGAAATTTACTAGTAGTAATTTCCTCTCCAGAGATTAACATGAGAACAAACATGCTTTTTACACAGAAAAACGGAAGGATGCTGCGGTTAAGGAGAAGAACATTTCCTAAATTGCTGGGCAGCATCTAACTGATTTTGGAAGAAGGTCAAGGGTTAATTTTGCATCTTACAGGGGAACTGCAAGAAGTCAGAGGTGCTAAGGTGACAGTGATGCTCGTGGAAGAAATTCCAGAGGCCTGTCCAGAGCTCAGTGACGGTGGACGTTTTGGGGGCCAGTGGAAATGGTAACTCTCATTTTCACTAATTTAGCCCTGTGCCTATCCTTGGACATGTGCCAAGTCAACAACATTTTCCCTCAACGTGTAGAAGGGGAGAGACGGAAGTTGAATACTCTCCTCCACCCCTTTGTGGCGTCTTGCGATTTGAAGAGTAAAGATGTGGATTAGAGGAGAGGCGGCCTTGGGAGACTGCCACAAGGAAACTGCAAGAAGAGCTGAGATACAGCTCATCTGCTGTCATCAGCCACCGAGCATTCTTCCCTGTGGATTTCCTCTCGCTTCAGGCCTCACGCTGGAATTCTGGGCCATGAACAGGATGTGGTGCAGTTGGTGGCAGGATCCAAGTGTGCTCTGCTGTCGACTATTTATCCAAACATCAGTATAATAAGTGGTTAAAAAAAAAAAAGAGGACGGGGATTGGAGCGCAGGAATAGCTTTGGTCTTAGGATGTGAAAGAAAAAGCAGGCTGAAGAATCCAAGATGTGCACCTTGTGACTCCCCCACCCCCGTCCAGCCACTTAACACAGTTCTGTGCGCACACAAAACAGGCTTTGACGAAACAGGATCACGCGTGGTTCTTCTGCTTGGTTATCAACTCATGTTCTCCACTTTTTCTATTCGTAGTAATTATGCTTATCTGACAGATTTCAGTGCAAAACTCCTTCAAAACGGTGACGCACACAATAACGTTTTTAAAGGAGTAAATCCCTAAGAGGAGTGAAGGAGGGGGAAGCTGTCCATGCTGAAAACCTGGCCAACCTCTGAGCGAGCACAACGGTGTAACTGGTTTCTAAAGCAGCTCAAAGATCTGTTTAGCCTCTCTGACTTCTGACACTGAGGATGAATGTCTAAAATGTTTACAAGAGAGGCTGAGCTTTTATTTGGAAAAAAGAAAAAGATAACAGAACAGAACAAAAAGAGTAAGGGCAGATGGCTGTACTGGTCTCTGGAATAAATAAACACTGTTCCCTGGAAAACAGTTTGAAAAAAAGATAAGGAAAACACTTCTCCCTCAGCCAGGAAATGGGAAGGATGTTCAAGCTCTCAACAACTTGAAGTTGTCAGTGGCGTGGGCGTGAAAAGCAGGAAGGAACGCTAGACCCGCACAGCTTCAGCCAGAGGAGTGGGTGTAGCACAGAGGATAAGAACGCGGATGCGGACACAGCAGAGGAGCGGGGCGCAGTACCCGCGGGGAGGGGATGCGCCCTGGGGAGGGCGGGCACCGTCCTGAGCACAGCCACCACACTCAGAACCAGCCACTGAACAGAAATGAAACGTCACCCAAATGCTCTATAAAACGAACAAAATCCACTGTCCGGGATGTAAAATCCAGGTGAAGAGTGTGTTCTGCGAGCCAAGCCCTCCCAATGAACAGGTCTTGTGGTCAAGGAACATCCCTGAGGAGACTGAAGGTGTAAAAGGGCAGAAACTGGTTCCTGCAAAGCCCGCTCCCACGTGCTGAGCGAGCAGAGTGGGGCTGGGGGGTCGGGGAACCAGCACCCCTCGCGGGGCAGCTCCTCCAAAGCTCGTCCAGACAGAGCCAGTGTCCTTCGAGGCTTGAACGCGAGCGCTTTCCACCTCTGTCTGGTCCCTGATTATTTACTTAGCGTTAGACCGTCCTGTGCTTATAATTTCCAGCATGGAGAATGAAGCTTTTATTAAAAATGTTATTTATTTACTTATTTAGGTTAAAAAAAATCAAATAAGGTTGCACCTGCCGCTTCCTAGGAAATGATTATATGAAAGTAAAAACTGAAAACTGATACTTCAAGTCCTACCTAAGTTTACATTTAGGAACAAAAGGATGATGTGTTAGCAACAAATCCAAGTGGAAACTATTCGGAGCAAGGAGGTCGTATCTGAGGGACTTCTGGGTTACAGGTGACAAAGACGAGTGCCAGGTTGGGGAGGGGACCCTGAGAGGCCGCGGACACTCGGCCACATGCCCTGAGCAATGCCACCTGTGAGACGGCTCCCAAGATAAAGGGAGACTTACACGGTTTTACAGATGAGATTTGCCGTCTGTTGCTTACATATATCTGCACTTAGAGATAAATACACATTTCTGAGAATAAAGTAAGAAAACAGCTTTTTAAAGGAACATCAAGGGTTGGATGAATTCTATGAGCCAGCGAACTCAGTATCCAGAAAACATACTTTGAAGAAACATAAGGAACTATTACAACTAACAAATCTGTTCTTTTCTAGTCTACGTGTTTTACTCTCTGGTTCACACCTTCAAAAAGTTCCTGGACTTACCTGCACTGATTGTTGATGTTTTCATGTTTTCCGCTGAAGTTCAAACTACAGAGGTTTTTCGATTTTAAACGTGCAAGGTCTGATTCCAAATCTGCCTTTGTTTGTTCTCTCAGACGATCGTGAAGCGTTGCCTCCTTTTTCAAGTTCATGTCCGAATACGGGCAGCCAAAAGCACTGGTTTGTATAAAAATGAGAGCACAGGTGTCAGTTTAGGGGGCTAAATCAGGGCTGCACTGTCATTGGAACAGACGCACATCCAATATTGAAAGGCTGAACAGACACAATCTTCTCTCACTGCATATGCCCAGAGAAGATTCTTGCCCTCTGAGAAAATCTCAGGTTCCAGACTCCAGACACTGGTCAGCAGATATTACAGGTAAAGTCATCAGCATATGTGGTTTTCACAATTTAAAAGACCTAAAAATCTAAGAACAACATAAAGATGTGCATCCAATTGAGCGATGAACAGTCATCTGAACGCCAGACCCCGTCTGCACCCTGACATCCACGCCCGGATCTGACCACCTGCAGCGCAGAATACGATGGGTAACTGACGCATTTACCAGGATTAGAGAACATTCTGATTTTATTTCTTAACATTCATCTGTCCAGAAATGCTGTATCTGGATTTCTGCTTAATCCTCCTGCGACCTCCTGGGAAGTTTGTGTTTGAACATGAGACACTGGTGGGTGAGAGAGGAGAGACCACAGTCAAGGCTGAATCCTGAATCCGGGGAGTGGTCAGATGCTAACAGCCAACTCAGGCCAAAGGTCTGCCGAGACCAGTGATCTGAGCCCTTCCACCAGCTGACTGCTCGTCTCTGTTAGACTTCTGTGCCCACGTTCCTGCCTCCTAAGAGGCCCCCAACCTCTGTGCTGCCAGGAATGAGGCCAGTGCTCTCAGGGGAAGCAGAGGTGTGACAGAGTCCCGTGCACATGACCCTCGGGAGGTGGTTCAAGCAGGACCTCAGTTCCTCCCCAGTGAAATGATAAAATCAGATCCAACTCCTACGAGCTGTTGTGATGGTGAGGAATCACACACTCACACACACCCACACACATACACTCACACTGACACACTCATACACACGCTCAGACTCACTACTCACACACACTCACACACTTACACACTCAGATCCACACACACACACACACATTCACACATTGATTTAAGCTCTCTTCATCTGTTAACTCTTCCAGTTCTCACAATATCCCTCAAAATACTACCATTATTGTCTGCCTTTTAAAGAAGAAACTGAGGCACAGAGAGGTGAAGTCAGTCACGCAAGGCCACAGAGCTTAGAGAGGTGGGACTGAAACCCCGGGAGCCCTATGCCAGGATCTCGGATCTTACCCACGATGCCAGCCTGCCTCTGAGATCAGACCTCTCTCTGAACACATTAAATATAAGTTAAAATGATGGAATCCCTGACGTCATCACTTTGCACCTAGTAGGCGCTCTGCCAAATGGACGCTGGTGGTATTAACGTATTTATATAACATCTTTGGCATTGTTGATTATGCAGACAGAAAAAGTAGAGAAATTAGACTACTTTGAGAGAATTTCAGTTGTTTGAGTTTTTTTTAATTTCATTCCGAAATTTACTGAGTTGCTGCAAGAATAGAACATGTGGTTAAAAAAAAAAGGGAATTCTTTAGAAACAAAGACACATTCTCCACATGGAATAAAACGTAATGTGAAGAACTGGCCATCTGGATGGTTTTTATTGGGACAAGCCAAGAGAAAGGAGAAGAAAATAGAAGAGAGACAGGCTTGACTTTCTGCCAGAAAAAGATTTTAAACACCATTCTGGCATGTCTTTAAACGAGAATTTAAATATGCCGACCCACTCACACACTCACTCACACGGCATCCACACAGCCAAACACAGCAGCCTACCTGCCGTGGCCAGGCCGGCCTCCGAGCAGCATCCTGTCCGAGCTGAGGCCGTGAGCAGAAGACACGGCTCCCGCCACTCCATCCCATCCACACATGCTTACAGACCGATGCTGCGCACACAGCACCGCACAGGCACCAGCGGGCCCAGAGCACGGCAAAAAGCCTACCACTAGGGTCTGTGACCCGAGGGTCAAAAGACAGATGGGTTAAAAATCTAAAAGGCAAAGAGCAGCACATATCACATTGTGGTTTATGGTTATTACGTATAATATGTGTTTAATAATGATGTCCCATAACCATCGAAGCACACACTTAGCAAACATTTAATACGTACCCAGGCACCCTAGTGCATAGCGCATTATATGATTTCATTAAATAAGCAAAATCTGGGAAGGGAATGTTTTCATAATGTTGTTTTTGCTTTTGCTCCTGTTGTTTCCTAATTTAGGACCAAGAGGGCATAGGGGCAGGTTCCTGAAGTAGCACTGGCCGCCATCAGTTCCACGTGTGGAGACCAGAGACGCAAGATCACGAGGGGATGAAACGGGCCGAGAGCAGAGCCCCCTCTCGGCATGGGGGCCCCCGAATGTCTGCTGAAGAGTTTCAACTGCTCAGAGATGCAGTACGTTCCTGAATTGGGAAAGAGAGGCCAAAGGTCCGGCAGGTCCTCCTGGCAGCTGTGGCCGGGAGGGCAGCCTGAGGGCCGGCGGGGCCCGAGTGTGGATGGCAGGATCAGATGGAAAGTGGATTCTGACACGGACTATAGAAACAGCGCCAGTGTGGCCTGGGGACTTGCTAAACCTGGGAGTCAAACACTGAAACATAAACTGGGGTGTGTGGGGATAAAGCTGGGGGTGAGGTAATGTGCTCTGTCCCTAACTTTTTAAACTGCAGCGCTGACAGGTTGTTCCAGACTCCTCCTGCAGGCGAGCAGTCAGACAACCGCTCGGATGAGAGAGAGGTCGGGCAGGAAGATGACTTCGGGGTGCCTCCCCCAGGCACCTGGGGCTGCAGCCTGGGATGGATGCGTCCGCTGCGCACAGACAGGCTGCGGCTCACTTTGTGCATCTGTGGTCCTGGACGTCACCGGAGGCTTGCCTGCTGCCTGCTTCACCTGTGAACTCAGCCCAGGTGACACACGGCTGAGTCACTGGATTAACCACCGAGTCACAAATCATCTCATGACTCCCACCTCGACTTCACTCACGCACACGCCTGGACCTCGGTTCTCTCCTGCTTTGAGCTGGAAGCCCCAGCCCTCTCACATAGCCCCTTGCTAAGCCAGGTACCACAGGAGCACCCCGAGTGGTCCCTGGCCTCCGGCTGCAGCAGGCTGGGGGACAGATTTCATATCAGCCTCTTGATGGTGTGAGGACGTGTGATTCAGTGTGAAAAAGCAGCCTTCACACGAGAAAGACACGGCTGGTGTGGCCAGGAGAGACCCCAGGCAGGAGGTGGGGCCTGGGTGGGGCCCTGAGAGTAGGCAGTATTCGAAAAGGCAGAAAAAGTTCTCTTTCGTCTTTAATTTTGTTCATTACCATCTTTTAAAAACCTGCTCGTACAAAAATAGTTTTAAAAGAAAGGTTCCAGTTGGATGTTTTTGTTGCCAAATCTGTCAAGATAAGGTGGCATTTTAAGCTCTCCAGGTGTGTTAGTTTTGCAACCTAAGAAAGCTGAAACCAGGTCCAATTTGCAATAACACAGACGATTCAGGCCCATAAACAGCTCTCGGTATGATTCTGGAGAACCGGGTCTCACAGCTAGAGTCACGGACTGGGGATTCGTCCTGAGAACTAACTGAAGCAGACTCAGCCTCAAGGCAGATGGACTGTCCTAGACGCGGGAGCGGGCGGTGCTGACAGCTTCCCCCTACCCCAGCCAGGGCTTTCTGGGGAGTGCCCCCCCACCCCCGCTCTCCTCCTGGTTCTGGGATGCTGACACTTTCAAAGGAGTGAGTCCGTGCACATGCCTGGGGAGAGCTGAAGGCCAAGATGTCCTGGAGGAAGGAAACTTGTGGGGTAAGTCACGGTTTCTAGTCTAAAACATGAAAACACCGGCCTCTCTCTCTGACACATGCTCAGTTTCTTTTTAGACCAGTGGCAGGCCACTTTTTAAAGCAACACTTGACAGGACAGATGGAGAGATGAAATTAACCCCTGACTTTCCCCGCGAGGTAGCTGTTCTTTGGAACAGTTTCTTTGGAACTGCAGGTACTCTAAACGTTCACTTTGTTGGATTTTTAACAATTGTCTCAATCTCTGTTGACTCATTAGATTGTACCAGTTTGACACTGAAATCCTAGAAGTGTTCTGATTCTTCACAGACTTCAATTTCTGCTCCATGTTCTCTACCCACATGTCTGCAAGGGTTATCCATCAATTTAGACCATGAAAATGACTAGGAATTCTACTTCTTAGGCCCTGAAGAAGGTTTTACTTGGCCTCTTTTTAGCTTGGAAACTATATACTGAAGTTTACATTTTTAGAAAAATGACTGTATATAATTTACAAATGATCAACGTTCTAGTACAGAATGTCAGGAGATGGTTTCCTACTGCAAACCATCCACATTTTTCTCTATTTCCTTCTGGTTTTATTTGCATACCACATGTGCAGGCGGTGCAGGTGTGTCCAAGCACAGGAGAGGGAGTCAGTCACTGTAACAGTCACTGTCGCGGGGGTGGCGTTTCACTGTCCAGGGTGACCACCTCCTGCCAGCCTTGCTCTCTAAGGCACACTCTCCTCTCTGCAGGTCCTTTCTGAACGATGCATAAACATTATTCCAGAGCCCGTTTGGGGTCGAAATCCTTTTGAGAGTCTGTTGAACATTGTGGGTTCCCTGGCTGACAAATGCACGTGGGCAAATAGACATGAGTACGGCCCACGCGTTCACTGACTCCCTGCGCCCGGAAGCTGCCGTGCACCCCAGAAAATGCTTGGGCAAGCGAGCATCTCAACACACAGGCAGTCCCTAACAGACACAGCCCTGCTGCTCTTTTCATTTGCTTTAAAAACGAGAGTGACTTTTGTTACTTTTCACACTTTCCTGTGGTCTCTTTCTGAAATTTTCTTTTTCCACTGATGAAAAGAGAGGGCAAGCAGAAGGCCAGCGTGGGTTCCTGGTACCCCATGGGCGCCATCGCTAATGTGATCTTTATCCGAGCCAGGGTGTCCTCGGCGGGCTGGCATACTCCGTGTCAGCCGAGGGGTGACCCTGTTAGGCTTCGGCCTGCAGAGCTAGAACAGGTCTTACTCTGAATTTTTGCTTCAGTCCA